ATTCTGCCTTTTCTGTCATGACATCATCTACCCTTTTCCTTCTGATTTTGTTAAACTGCTCCTTTTGCCATCAGTACACGCAGGCAGCAGCTAGCAGCCTTCTCAGGGACTCACTCTGGCAGCGACCCCTCCTGACACCCAGCTGTGTGCCTTCCCTGCCCTTCCCCTCCAGGAGATGCCCCATGCTCTTTAAATGTGGTGCGCCGTCTTGGGCCACCAGTCCCCGCTCCCAAGGTCGAAATGCAATCACATGGAGTCTGGAGCTAATTTCTGTGTGTTTTTTTTAAGTCAGAGTCTCACTCTGTGGCCCAGGCTGGAATGCAGTGGCATGCTCATGGTCACCACAGCCTCTATCTACTGGGCTCAGGTGATCCTTCCACCTCAGTCTTCCAAGTAGCTAGATCTGCAGGCAGACACCACCACGCCCAGCTAATTTTTTTGATTTATTGTAGAGACGAGGGCTCACCAAGTTGCCCAGGCTAGTCTCGAACCCCTGAGCTCAGGCAATCCTCTTGTCTTGGCCTCCCAAAGTGCTGGGATTACAGGCTTCAGTCACCATGCCGGCCTTCTGGCGCTTTCTTGCCATGAGCAGCCTTCACAGACAGTATGACTTTCTCCTTTGAAACCTGCCTTGGCCTAGCATTTCCTTCATAACTGACACATCCAGGTTTATGCATGCTTGTTTTCAATCTGGCAGTGACTGTCCCTTTTTGAATACTGCAAGAATTGGCACCTCTCTCTCATTTCTGCATCTGTCCTCTTTTAAGCACTTTCACATATGTAGTTTTAACTTCTTCATGACATTAGGTAGCTACATTAACGAGTGCCTGGCTTCCCTGCCAGGTTGTCAGCACCACGAGGGCAAATAGTCACTGCATTACAAATTTTACCTCCCACCCCTCAATGTGTATGACTCCTCCAGTGGTCTTCAATAATCCTTCCTATATACTTAGGAAAAAAAAATTCTTTAGAGCTAGGTATCATCACTGATCTCGATCTCCTGGGTTCAAGCGATCTTCCAGCCTCAGCTTCCCGAGTAGCTGAGACTACAGGTGTCGCGACTATGCCCAGCTCTTTCTATACTGTTAAACTAGGAGGATGACCTTATCCAAATCACTCACTAGGCCCTCCTGCTGCTGACCTAATGGTGACTCCCATGCTGCTGACTCTCCCAGTCCCCCTGGGCCCACCTCGGTATACTGCAGAGGTGTCAACAGTCATCTGTGACCTTGTTCTGTTTCTTTAGTTGCTTTTTGTGACATTTGCTTTGCTCTCTACAGTTCCTGCCTTTTTTGGCTGCTCAATGGCAGACATGTCATGCTATCTGGTTAGTAGGAGGGAGACAGGCAGTAGTGCCGGCCCACCCCATGCCTACCAACTCAGAGCAGGAAAACTTCTATTGCTTTTACTTCACGGAAGATCCCTGGTGAGAAAAGTATTTGAAAACTGCTGCTTTATGGGATGCAGAAATGCAGCAGGGACGTCCTTGAAAAGCAACCAGCACTAGCTTCTTGGCGCCTAACCTTCACACGTCCCTGTCATAGGTCTTGTCTTGCAATCTTGTCTTCATGCTCTCCTCCTCATGTAGTTGGGTCTATCTCAGAAAGTCCATGTTTCTCAGCTTGTAAAATCTAGCAGGCTCACCATGGCCATTAATGGGAATACTTTAGTATTTTAATGGAAGCAGTGACACCTTTGGGAAGGAAGAAAAAAGAAAAAAGGGGATGCAAGTTGAAGGCAATGGTGAGGTGGCCACTGGGTCCCTCCCTGGCTTCCCAAAAAGGCTTCAGAGGGCCAGTTGGGTGCGGCTTCACACTCTATACACTCCCCATGCCAGGACAGTGTAATCAGCCCGTGTGTGTGTGGACTGCTAGTTCGCATGTCCACTGCTAACCTGCAGCAAATCCTCCTGCACCTTGTCCTTGAAAGCCTTAGTCCTGGTGCCCTAAGTCATCACCCCCCACCCCTTTCCTCTCCCTGGCTGCCCCACACAGACGAGCCCTCTATGACCCAATGGCCAGCTTCCACCCACCACTTTCACAGCTGACAAATGACTTGTTACCTTCTGGTCTTACTAAACAAAAGAAGCGCTGGCTCTCCTGCGTCTCCTGGCCAAGAAATTCAAGAGGAATTCCCCCCAACTCCTCCCCAGTCAAATGCTTCCCTTACCTAGTATTGGAATTCCACCATTTCTCTCCCAAGTCTGAAACAGCTGGGCTTCCTCTTTGGGACATGGTTCAGCACCTCACAGGTGACAGTTCTGGACCACAGACAGTGTCACATTTCCAGTCGGTTGAGAGACCATCTCTAGGCCCAGCATGTGAACAAAGGAACTTATTATATAAAGAACGCTCTTAGGCTCTCAACTTCGGAAAGAAATGAGGACACGGAGGACGAAGGGAAGAAGGAAACAAGGAAAGACTTTTTCCGGGTGTCGGTAATGAAAGATGCCTTTCCTTTCAAAGCGGCAGACTCCTGCCTGTTGTCTGTGTGTGCCCAAGGTGCCGTGGTGGCTCTGAGTGGAGAGTGATAGCAACCCAGAAGATTCTTTTGAACCTTGCAGACAAAACTTTGCTTCTAGATGGAGAATTATTACTTTTCACATTCATGTTGTAATCATGTAGCTTTAAATGCAATTTGTGGACCTTCACAGAAATATCACAAAGCTCCTGCACCTGTCTTCTTGGTCTTTACACAGCTGGAAGGTTTTCTCCTTTCGCTCAGAGACCTAAAACTGCAGGGATTTCCTGAAGGACTGTCCCTGCCACAGTCACAGGCTTTGCCAGGAATACAGCAGAAAATCATAACCATTTGCTGAACTGTCTGACAACAGATAAAAAAGCCAGTGTGAAGTCTAAAAAAGGAAACCCACAAAGATGGTGTCCTCCACTGTGTAACTTAGAAGTGAAATTGGACAGGGTCTCTTCCCTCCCTCCCTCCTTATTCTTGCCACCTTACATGTCATTACCCAAGAAGGTGACATGTTCAATGCACTGGACTCACAGCTCCCTGGATAGCCCTATATAACCTTATGACTCTGCTGTCCACAAAGACCAGGCTTGTTATGTCGAGACACTATTTTCAGGGAGTTTGGTCATGATGGGATCTGACCACCGCCACCCACGTCAGCAGGTGCTCAGCTACATGGCCTCTACAAGTGTGCTATAGCTGACCATGCATGATCTCACCACTGCATCACATCCCCTTGGTCATCTGCCTTGCCCAGCCCAGCTAACATGATACTCAGGGCAGAAGGGCGTCCCACGCATCGCTATAGGGTCTCCCGAAGGCAGGCAGTCCTCTTACCACAGCTTTCATGGTGGTGCTTCCTCACCCTTGGCAGAGATCTTGTCTCTCAACTTCATCTGAAAAACACATGTCATGGGACATGACTTCCCTCCATTTGTTCCTCTTTCATTTGGACACTGACTTGTCTTCAGCCGCTCTTGGAGCCAGACTCAGAGAAGAAGAGCCCAGCTCTTGTTTCTCTTTTGAGGCTGCAGTGGCACGCTCAAGGCCACTGGAACCTTGACCTGCTGGGCTCAGGCAATCCTTCCGCCCCAGCCTTCCAAGTAGCAGGAACTACAAACTCACGCCTCCATGCCCAACTAATTTTTTAAAAAATTTATTGTGGGGACAAGGTCTCACCAAGTTGCTCAGGCTAGTCTCAAACCCCTGGACTCAGGCAATTCTCTCTCCTCGGCCTCCCAAAGTGCTGGGATTACAGACTTGAGTCACTGTGCCCGGCTACCCACCTCTTTCTTTAAAGGAAGCAGTGACACCTTGGGAAGGAAGTAAGAGCACTTGTCTACCTTGAGCCCACCTCGTGGCCTGGCCTGCAGCCCTGTGGGCCCAGCTCCATCATCTCTTCCACTTGGTCTCTCTCTCTTGTTGGCTCCCTCCCCAGAGACTCAGTCAGAAAAGTGCAAGCCTGTCCCCATGAACTCTTGTCCTTTCACTGCTCCTCTTTGGCCGCCCCCAGCCCCAGGCCCCCTGCTACAGGGGTGGTCTGCCATGGCTCTACCTGCTTCTCTCAGACAGCCCAGGGCAGTCACTGGTCAGCTCTGAACACGCTGGTTCCGATTACATACCTTGGACTACCACCCGGAGAGGTCATACACTGCAAAGGTGAGGAGCCTGTCATTAAGCAGCGGTAGGTGTGATGATGACACTCCTATGTGGAACATGGGAGCTGATCATTTTAATACTTTCTAAAGGATCTGGACAACAGGGAAGAGTGTTCATGTCTCAAGGAGAAGGTCAGTGGAATATCCCACTGTGTTTCAGTACCCCAGCACATGCTTCTATCTAGGCAGGATCAGCTCATCTCACTGAAGATAGCTTCTGACAGGAGAGGTTTTCCTCTCTTAGATGAATAGAAAACAGTTATTTCAGGTAGCAGACATTTCAGTCACACCTTACAACAAAATTAAATGAAATAAAAAAGCATTCAGGAAGACTTCCTACTTACTGAGTACTTGCTTTGAGGTACTATGCGAAACACTTGAAATCTATTTTTATAATTGCTACCATATACAAGGCAAGTAATATCGGTTCCACTTTATAGCTGCAAGTCTGAAGTGGAGGGACGCAGAATGACTGCCCACAGCCAGCTGCAGTTATAAGCAGAGGAGGTTTTGAACCTAGCTTTATGGGTCCAAAACCTGTACTCTTTCCACAATAGCACATCAAAAACATTTCCCGATACCTGTCTTGTCAACAGGTCGCTGTATAATGCCCAATATCGACAAGAACCCAATGTTCAGGAGTCCCCATCCTCACAACTTCTTGGTCTGAAAAAAGGGGCTGTTCATGACTGTCTGTCTAGCAGCAGGGCTGTTGAAATTCAAGAGGAGGAGAAGAGATGGTACAACCTTCCGCCCCAACACCCAAAGGTCTGGAAAACCCAGGGGAGCACTAACATCCCTGTTCAACCCCAGAGGAACAGCTTCTGATCCATCACAAATTATTATAAGCAGAGCCAAATTCCAAAGTCATACTTATTTGGGAAATGCTGTAATAAAGGATTAGACAGTTTCATACTTTTACATATGAAGTTGCAATTAAGCTATACATGCACAGTACTGTTATTTTGGTAATACAGGGACACAATTTAATGATTCTAAGGTTTTTTTTGTAGTTCATTTTTTTTACAAGTCAGGTGCCATAAACATTCAAATAATCCATCTTTTAAAAAGTACGTTTACAACATCAAAAGAATTAAGATGAAATATAAACCTTTCTACTTACAATTTTTATACAGATTAACCAAATCACAAATACCACAAATAAATGTTAAATTGTAACAATATAATGAATAAACATTCAAATTCTTAATAAAATCTTCCTTTACCATTTTTTAAAAACTTACCATTATACTAAATAATCTATGCAGAATTTGGGGGTACAATACCATGAAGGCACCAACAGTACAAAGCAGATACAAAGCAGTTTTAAAACTTTCTTGAGTGCTCTACACAGATAAACAGCACACAAAAAGGCAACAAGCTTTAGGTAAACCTGGTGCAATCCTAGAGGATTTGCTCTAGATTCCCATTGTTTCTGCTCTGTCACATTGAGGTGGATGACAGTAAGAGAAACCACATATTCACGGTTACAGCTTCTCATCCGCACTATAGGAGTATCATGTTTCAAACACCAGCATAACAATTTTAAAGCACAAATGCTTTAAAAATGCACAAGCAAAAGGATTGCTCAGATGTTCAAAACCACTACATTTACAAAAATATTTCCCTTAAACTTGGGATTGCTCCAAAACATTGATTTACAAATATAAAAGTATTATGGAAGGACCCAAAGCATGTGTGCATATGTATGTGTGTGCATTAACATACTGTTACCATACTATATAAAAGTTACCAATTTAAAAACCATATTAACATATAAGCAAATAAAACAGTCTCCTCTGAATGGTCTGAATATTGTGTGACATGGGCAGTGTACTTTAATGATTCCTCAAAGACAACCACTGGTGAGCCACGTGTAGCTTCTCAAAGCTATTGGTTACTTCCGCACCCGTTGCCTGTGCCCGAAAGCAGAAGGAATGAGTGTGAAATGAGTGTGAACACACCACGTGCTGTGTACTGCACACGGAATACAATATTTTTCTACCCAAATGTCACAGCAGTCTGTGTGTCAGCTTTGCAGACTTAAGTCAGGACAGAATCCTCACTATGAGTTCTCTCAAATTCATCCCACTGGCTTGTTAGGTATTTGTTTCATACTAAATGAAAGGACTGGAATGTTTGAACAGGAATTTTTTGCTTACATTTTAGACACCCAAAAAGCCATTAGTCTGAAAGCTTATTTGAACATACCTATAGTGGAGGTTTTGTTCAGTATCACCGGTATGAATTTAGGCAGCCATATCTGTACATTTTTATAAATGTTAAAAGCCAAAATGCTGCAAGTCTACTACACATAATAGCTAGTATTTTTCATAGGTACCTTAGCTATGACAGTTATCTCACTTGTTAAATTATGTTTGGCATGATTAGTAAAAAGCACACAACTTCTGGTTACAGTGACTCTAGAATGCTGTTAGTGGTTTCATGCCAGTTTGCACAGTTCCAGCAAGGGGATGGGAAAGAGCTCAGTCCCCAGACATTAGTAGCCGAGGCTATGGTTTTCTACTTAGAAGAGGACTTCAAATTAACCTCATAATAATACTAACATTCCATTTAAAAAGTATAAAGAAATGAGTAATAAAACTCTCAATGCTCTTTTTAAAATGAAAACTGACCTAGTTTATATCAGATACTAGTCAAATCTTTATATCCTGTCGATGCTGTGTGGACCTTCACAAGACAGCTATGAGCATGGAAGTGAAAAGCATATATTTTAGGGCAAGAATTGAGATGTGGTTCTGATTTCCGAGGATGTCAGTCATCCTTCCTTAGCCACAAGAGGAGTGAGCACCAGCACTCTGGGCTGGGTGCTATGGACAGCCCCTCCCAGCATTAGGTTGTGCCAAACAGTGGCTCTAGGGCACAAGGGCAGGTCCTCTTTAGAGAGAGCCAAAGAATCCAACCTGAGATGTCTGGGCTTCTTCATCAAGGTTTGAGATCTATGACCTGAATAAAGGAACATGACAGAACTGATTCTCTGCTGTGCAGAGGCAAAAAGGACCCTACAGAAATACCTTTTTAAATCAGCGCACATAAACCCAAGTGCTGGGGCAGTGCCCAGGTGGCGAAGTGAGGTCTGTGAGTATTTTTGTGTTAAGCAGGAAGTGAACCTGACTGTCCATTCAGACACACTGATCCAGAGGAAATCAACACCGAATCTTAACATGAGTGTGAAGATAGAAGATGTACATTTATTTTCATGAATTACAAATGCATTTCTGTTCATATTAGCAGGCAGTCTTTATATATAACCCATTCTCCATTGCTGTCAAAAATCAAACAAGAAAAAAAGGACAGCCGAGAAATGAAAAGCTAAAAATAGAATTATTTTTCCTAAATGATCTGCTGGATAGCATTTTCCGTGGAACACAACTTAGAGGTAACAATAGATTTTTCATTTCAATCATAGGCATGTGGCACTTGGACAGTCATCTCTGCACAGAAAGCTGTTAACAGTCATGCGAGGGTACAGTAATTATTGAACAAGGCAAATTTCTCACCACAGAGAGCAGTGGGGGAGTCAAGAGGAGGCACCGCACTGGGACAGAACACCGAGTCAACTCCACAGTACACAGTGGTAGGAACAAATACTTAAAAGAGATCAGTAAAATATGGATAGAGCTCCAAACACGACTTAGGCTAGCTTTTTCTGATGGTCTTAGCTTAGCAGTATCAGAATTATTTGAGAGTACTTGACACAACAGTATTTCATGTCATGAGCTCGTGACGGCTTTATTACAAACTGTTATACTGTAGGTTGAAAAATGAACTTGAAATGCTGACATGCTGTAGAAGGAAAAAGAATTGTATACTTTCTCATTTAAAGACGCAGTGTTCCTCTCTGCTAAATCTTCAGACATTGGATGTGGTTGCTGAAACACGCAAGTGTGAAGTAGCTCAGGGTGTATGTGCACCAGCGTGTGGAGCACCACCCTGGGACATCCCTAGAAACTGCCACAGCTTGGTGCTGTGACCTTTGTATGTCTCTCACCAAATGCCCAGTGAAGCCGCCACTTTAAATCTTTTTATGTAAGTCTTGCAAACATGAAGTACTGAAGTACTGCACATAACACATTTTGGCATGTGTTATACCTCCATAAATGATTCGGGTAACCACAGTAAATCTACAGAATGACACTGCTGGGTTTAGTACTTCCTTTTTGTTTAGAAAAATGACTGGCTTTTCTAAAAGCTGGGCAAAAAGCACATACCTTAAATGTTAGTAACTAACATGATACGACAAAAGATGCTAACAAGTGCTCCCAAAGGATTCCCAAGATGGAAGCACTTGCTGCAGGCTGCAACATCATCCAAGGTATTTCCACAAGCTCCTGCTCTGGGAAAACAGTTATGGTCAAAACGTGAAGTGCAAATAAGGGGGTGTCACTGACTTAAAGTGCCCTAGGTAGTAGCCTTCCCTATCATAAAGTGAGATGCCAGTGACTGGAGCCAACTTGGAAAGAATCTCTCTCTGGTGTGGCTGCATGGGTCAGCAGGGCGTCATGTAGAAAAACATTCAGGAGAGGGAGGAACCACTGCATCTTTCAAACCAGAAAGCAATTAGTGACTAAAGCAACAGTAAGCAGTAGGTGCACTGAAGTACGTACTGTTGCAGTCACCCATGGGTGACACACACAGGGTTGCCAGGAGTAATTCTCTGGACTGAAGGAATTCTTTGAAAGCATAAAAGCCACAACTACCAGGAACCGCCCCTCTGAACAGCTCAAAGAAGTCAAAGTGGATAGGCCGAGACGGGCTGGAGACAGGACCAGGGGTCAAGAACTGGGAAGAAGAACACCGATGTCTGAGCATGTCCAGTCCTCTGAGCCCTTGTCCTATTAAAATACAAACAAACAGACCTGAGTTAAGGATGAACCATGTGAAAACATTATCATCATCAGTATCCCCAAACAGAAAAGTGACAAGAATGAACCACATTAAAATACCACCAACAGCATTATGAAAACAGAAAAATGAAAAAGGGAGAAAAACTCCTGCAAAAAGATCATTTCACTTGGACCCACTGGAGCATGGGTAACACATGGCAGTTCTGAAAGGGTTGCTCTGCTCTCACTACACAGGCATTTCCCCTCACACAGTTCCATAACACTTGTGGGGAAGAGACACAGATACATACACACACACACACACACACACACACACACACACACACACACACACACACAAAATGCAGTGTTACCAAGATGCCCTTTATTATTATTATTTTTCCAGACAGGGCCTCACTTTATCAACCAGGCTGGAATGCAGTAGTGTAATCACAGCTCACCGCAGCCTTGAAATCCTGAGCTCAGGTGATTTTCCTGCCTTAGGCTCCCAAGTAGCTGGGACTACAGGTATGCGCTACCATGCATGGCTAATTTTTAAATTTTTTTGTACAGACAAAATCTCGCTATGTTGCCCAAGCTGGTCTTAAACTCCTGGTCTCATGTGATGCTCCTACTCTGGCATCCCAAAACACTGGGATAACAGGTGTGAGCCACCATGCCAGGCCCAAGACACCCTTTATTAACTATGTAATATTCACCATTCCCATGTTCAAAACTAGAGTTTAAGGGTCTTTGTGAAATAATACATCTCTATGCCTCCTCCTATTCTTGGCAAGTTTCCCTCTGGATAACCTGCTAGGGCACAGTCAACTGTACAGGCAGGAGATGGGGGCCTTTAATCATGCTCAAGTTTTCTTTGACTGAGAACGAAGCAAAGTCCTGGTGGGAAGTGTGAGGGTGGTAGGCTGGGATTCTGGAAAGGCATGGAGCTGTAGCTGGTTCCCACAGGCAGGAAATGGTGCTGACCACCCAGGTTGAGGGTGAGCTGACAGCTATCTTTACATCAGGTCACCCTGAAAGGCATTCTCACTTGTTTTCTACCTTGGTCAGGCCCACCTGGAACATCACACTAGGAAAACATGAGCAGCACGTTTTCCCAATGTCTCTATTTTTACTTGGAGAAATTATATTTCAAACCAAATCTACCCCAACCATTTATAGCTAGTGGTTCTAATGTGAGCCTCAGAAGTCCCTGCAGGGCTTGTTAGAACACCGATTGCTGGGGATGGGCACAGACTGCCCACATCTACTGCAGGTCATGAATTAACTTTGCTTCTAGCTATGTGCTCACTTTGTGCCATCCTTGGAAGAAGTGAAAAACACTGCCACTCAAATCACGTTCTATGTGCTGCATTTCTGATGAGGAAACCTGGTGGAGATAGCCGGTGGGGCAACCAAGTGTTTCAACATGTAAACTAAAGACTCATCCCTCTTGAGACCCTTAATGGTGTGAAACATTAGTCAGCCTGCAAATCTAGCAGAATGTCTCTTGATATTTCAAAGAACACTTTTAGAGTAGTGGCTTTCATCTGCCACTCAAGAGTTAGGGCAGGAAGGATAGGCATATGATGGCCCAATGGTGGACACGGCAACAGCTGAGAAAGGAAAGTGGCCTCTGTCACGTAGAGGTGAAATGCAGCCAAACCTATTGGCTGGCAGGACATTAAAGCTGCCCTAGAATGCTTTTATCTTCAACGAACCAAAGGGAAATGAAATTAATGCCTGTAGCGATCAATCCTCTTGAGGAAATTCACCACCTGGCAGATGAGCAAGGCACCACTTCCACCTTCACTAGCCTCATGGGGCGGGGCCTAAGGACACAGTTTGGGTAAGGTACTGTCACAAGTTCTGATCACATGTACCTTTTAAGTTTGCCAATGGAAACATTTCTAAAACTGTCTCCTTTAAGCAAAATACAATGAACATACTTTGACCATTTAAGAACTCTCAGGGCCATACTATCGACTTCTCTAATGCCACGGTCATTTGATGGCGTCCTCTACCATGAAGCCTCATAGTTGTATCCTATGGCCCTGGGTACTTTCCAGTTCTCTCCCGCTGTAGCTAAGCGGTCAGCTACTGCCTCTCCCTAGTATCCTCATGTCTTACATCACCTTCATTTCCAGGCTCTCCAATTTGTAGCTCTGATCTCAGGTATACATGCTGGGGACTCAGGGACAATGCTTAGTACTGTGAATGAGGACCAAAACCTTTTCTGGGAGCAGAGCTAGTCACAGGCAGTGTGGAGAGATCACAAGAAAATGGCATTCTGGGTCAGAAACACCTGGGCTTTCTGTCTAGCTTTGCCACTGATGTACAATCTTGAGCAAAAAGCTTTAAGACTCCAGTCTTCAGTTTCCTTAATCATAAATATGAGATTATGCTGACTTCAGAGAATGCCACTGTGACCATCAAAATGAAATGTTTGAACCTGGCCCATAGTTTAATCAACAATCCCAGCTCTACCTTCCTCTGGGTTCATTTCATATTCTAGATGACTAAATTAAAAGTCAGCCTGAAAGTTGGCAACTTTCTTTTGAAACTGTATGAACAAAATGAGGTGGATTGAAGGGTGGATAGAGGAACAGATGGACAGACTTTTAAGAACACAAATATAGGAAAACATTGATCGTACAATATAGGTGGTGAGAATATGAGTATCTAAATTATTTCAACTTTTCAGAATAGTTGAAAATTATCATCAAGACAATGTTGGGAAAAAAAAATCTCTGTGCCTTATGTGTGCCTGGAACAAATGAAAGACATGTAGAGGTGACTGTCCTTGCCACGCCTGGAATCTCAAAAGTTGGGGTGGACCCTGACAGGGATCTCAGTCTCTGTTTGCTACGCTGACTTCAGGAGCATCCAGTGAGCAATGACATCTTGCAAGGCCAGGAGCACCCCCAACTGTCTTGTGTCCCCTGTCCCCACTGAGCCACCCATCTCTCAAGTGCCTAGCCAGTTGTCCCACAGGTACCTATTCTCTAAGGTCCTCCTACATACATCCTTGCTGCTCCCAGAGTCGCCTGAGCTGATATTTCAGGACCAGCAGCTACCTGTGAGATAGAGTCAGGTTCCTGAGTAAGGCAGGAGCCACAGCCTGGGGCCAGCATCTCTCTCTCTGCAGCCTTCTCCTATCCGGCTCTATCTCATGCTCACAAGCTATGGTCCTTCTGGGTTCTGAATCACTGCACTCCCTCTTCTACCAACACAGAGCCTTTGACTACCAGGATCCAGCTCAGTACAGTTGTTTCTGAGTCATTCTCACACTGCGATGCTCTGATGCTGTGCCTTACTCTTTGGGGTTCACTGTACCCATCCCTGGTATGGCACCTAGAGTACTCCAAGCACTTATTGTGGCTTACCTGTTTTTTGCCATTTAAGAACTCTGACCATTTAAACAAAGGGTCTTACCTTTGTTTCCCTCCTACTTGGCACTAGAGAGTGATCTATGCTGATTAAATGAGTGATGAAAACCTGGTCATTCTGTCAACCCCAGATGCCCTTTTATACTAAAAATGTAAACAAATGTTCTGTGTGTCTTTTCTCCTCTTACATGAGCTCTGTTGAGGGCATTATCAGGTCTTGTTTGTCCTGCTCATCTGTGGTTGTCTAATGCAAATGCAGCACAGACGAAGCAGGCAACATGGCTGAAGAGAACCAAGGGAGGATATGGGGCTAAATTGCAGACCACCAACTGGCTTAAGGAAAATGACCCATGAAGGAATTGCAAAGGAAGAAAAGCAACAGAAGTTGTTCAGCTCAAACTTCTAGGCAAGCGGTTGACAAACTTGTTCTGTAAAAGGCCAGAGAGTGAAGCTCTCAGGCCCCATGGGTCATTCAAGTCTCTGTCATGATTATCCCACTCTGCTGCTATAGAACAAATGCAGCCACAACAGCTTATTCACAGGCAAGGCTGTCTAGCCAACGTGACCCTATGTAGACAGTGGGAGCCTCACGAAGGGAGAGCAGCTCTTGGGAAACAGAGCCAGTCCTCCACCACAAGCACCTCAACAGGAGTCAGGAAGGAGCTATGGGGACTCAAGGTATGAAAATGATAGGATCCTGGGGCACAATTGGTCATCAGTGAGTAATGGTGCAAATCACTGTACCCAGTACCTTCTCCAATAGAAGGTCACACTTGTGTAGTATGACAGGAGACACGAATTCACCTCTTGGGAGATTCTACGCTCCTCAGCCCCTGCTGATATCAGGCTTCCTTCTCCATCAGACACTTCAGCAGGGCTTGTTCACAACAGTCCAGTAAGCACATGCCTCCTCAATGCTTTACCTTGGTTTGACAGATTGTCTTTGGGGGTCAACAGCAGGCTAAGCAAGGCCTTATCAGTGCTAGCAGCCCCACCTCTCGTCAGCTGCTTGGTTTGGAAAATTTGGAGTCTTTCACAGACTTTGTCTTTCCTCCATTCTCTTGAATTCACCACTTCTTACCACCATAGCCCTAGTCCAAGGTCACAGCCCCTTTAGTATGGAAGATCACAAATTTGCTTTAGCCTATCTTCTACCCAGTCTTCCCTCATTCCCACTCTTCTTACTTTGATGTTAGACTTCTTCCCTCTAAATATCAGTGTCTATTTCCTACCAATTCCCAGCTCACTCACCCTGCCTGGTTCTCAGGGCTCTCTCTTAGGAGGCTGTGTGGGCCATGACTGTTCTCAGTTCATGTCTACCCTGGCTTGGTTCTCTGTTTGTTTTTTTTTTTGAGTTGGAGTCTCACTCTGTCACCCAGACTGGAGTGCAGTGGCCACTCCCGGACACCGCAGCCTCGACCCACTGGGCTCCGGCGATCCTTCCGCCTCAGCCTTCCAAGTAGCTGGGACCACAGGCGCACACTACCATGCCCGGCTAATTTTTTGATTTATTGTAGAGATGAAGTCTCACCAAGTTGCCCAGGCGGGTGTCAAATCCGTGGGCTCAGGCAATTCACTCACCTCAGCCTCCCAAGGCGCGGGATTACAGGCTGAGCCACTGAGCCCGCCCGGTTCTCTGTTCTTAATGACAGGAAGCTGGAAGCCTGTAAACTGCAACATAGTTTTGTCCCAAGTATTTGCCCAGCAACTCCTTCTGCCCTGGCTCACAATACTTTACTCATTGCTTATTTCTACAGAGTTCTGACACAAGCCTTGTTCTCTCTCCCTACTATATATTCTCTAAAAGCAAGATTTGTGTTTTCTTTTGCACATTTTTTGTTTTGAGCCCAAGTCTCATTCTGTCGTCCAGGCTGGAGTGCAGTAGCATGCTCACACCGCGACCTCAACCTGCTGGGCTCTGGCAATACTTCTGCCTCAACTTTCCAAGCGGTGGAAATACAGGTGTGTGCCACCACGCCCAGCTAATTTTGTGATTAACTGTAGAGACAAGGTCTTGCCATGTTGTTCAGGCTGGTCTTGAACCTGTGGGCTCAGGCAATTCTTGCCTCTGCCTCCCAAAGCGCTGCGATTACAGGCATGAGCCACTGCGCCTGGTCACTTTTTTTCCCCAAAGCAACCGATACTGCCACACTGTCCATCACCCCTTATGACCCAAGTTCAGAAAGCATTTGTGCAGATCCATATGAACTACTTGACAGGTTGGCCTAACCTGTGCCTCCTGGACAAAGTGTCTTCAGCTTTGCTTGCCCATACTCTCTGTTTGAATTGTATACAGGGTTTGGGCCCCTTATATGTGGCACCAAGGGTAGAACCAAGTCCTAGCCGGGCGCAGTGGCTCTTGCCTATAATCCCAGCACTTTGGGTGGCGGAGGTGAGAGGACTACCTGAGCCCACGGGTTCGAGAACAACCTGGGTAACTTGGTGAGACCTCGTCTCTACAATAAATCAAAAAATTAGCGGGGCATGGTGGTGCACACCTGTAGTTTCATCTACTTGGAAGGCTGAGGCAGAAGGATCACCTGAGCCCAGCAGTTCGAGGCTGAGGTGGCCGTGAGCATGCCACTGTACTCTAGCCTGGGCGACAGAGTGAGACTCCAACTAAAAAAACCCCGAAGAACCAGGTCCTGGCTAGGAGCTTCTGAAGGGGTGGGCACAGAGAGCTAACACTGGAGGTATTTAACTAGCAACTCTGCTTACTACAGGACAAAGGGGTCCTGAAGTGAACTCTCTCCAGAGAGAAGCTCACATACTGTGAAGCTGTCCAGTGCAGGTGTCAAGAAAAGTATGAGAACTAACAGATGATCAATCTAGAATATGAACAAACAGTTTCTAGATGCTCATAGTCACTACCCTTGATTAAAGAAAAAAGAGACTTCAAGTTTCTAATAAAAAGAAAAGATTCCTAAAATAATATACGTAACTTTTAAAATCATTTAAATTTCCAAATTAAAGGAAATATCTTCCAAAAAGGAGCTTGAAAAAGAATACAAAATAATAGACCTATTTTGAGGAATACAATGCTCTAAAGACAAAGGGAAACAGAGATATGACCGCCACTCTGAGAAGCCAGCTACTACTCCTCTGGGTAGGAAGGTGGCGTCTCTCCTTGGAGGGCAGCAAGCCCTGGTGTCTACATTTCCCAGTAAGCGCGAGTTAAACACCCATTTTGCACATACCAGTACTAGAAATTCTAAAAAAATGAAGCCAAGTGGTATGAAAACCTGGGTCTTGGCTAGGACGTCTATACAGCTTTCTTTTCCGCTCTGTAGCTGTACTTTCCCCTTCCTCTCCTCCATATACTCTTCTGTGATCCCTCATACGTACTGTCTTTCTATAGCTCCTTGGTCTAATTCTCCCTCAACTTTACTGTCAGCACTTCTCCATCCTGGCTGGTTTTCTTTTCTTTTCTTTTTTGAGTTGGAGTCTCACTGTGTCGTCCAGACTGGAGTGCAGTGGCCGCTCCCGACCACCGCAGCCTCGACCTGCTGGGCTCCGGCCATCATTCCACCTCAGCCTTCCAAGTAGCTGGAACTAGAGGCGCGTGCTACCATGCCCGGCTAGTTTTTGATTTATTATAGAGATGAGGTCTTGCCAAGTTGCCCAGGCAGGTCTTGAACCCACGGGCTCAGGCAATCCACTCACCTCAGCCTCCCAAAGGTGCGGGATTACAGGCTGAGCCACCGAGCCCACTAGCTGGTTTTCATATGTGCACTTACCTTATGGTACTTATCAAATACAATTCTATATTCTCAATTCTTAGATAAAAGTCCTGGGTCCCTAAAGTTATATTAGAATTTCTGGAAATTTAAAATGTAATATGAAGTGAAATAACATTTTTAGGAAAGATCTCAAACTTGCATTAGCTTTAGTAAGTCCCTCTTTGCCCAAACACCAAAGTCTCATTATAGCAATTATTCTAAAAACCATCACTTTATTTTCACATCAACTTCATGTCTTTGTAACCTATAAGTCAATAAAAACTCCCAGAAGTGAAAGAATTCCAAATATATCTTTTCAACAGTTGTGAAAAGACAAAATCTAACTTCCAGTTTAAATCACGAAGTATCTTACAGCTGGGGCAACATAATAAGACCTCGTCTTTAAAATAGCTATATAGTCATCCACGGGGTCCACATCTTGAATTCAATCAACTATGGATCAAAAGCATTCAGGGAGAAAAAATTTCCACAAAGTTACAAAAAGCAAAATTTGAATTTGCTGGACACTGATTAATGCACTGAATCTGTGAGAATGAAGTGTATGTAGGCAACAAATTAGGTAGTACAAGTAATCTAGGGGTAATTTAAAGTAAACAGGAGGATATGCATAGGACATATGCAAATAGCATGACATTTTATGAAAGGAATTTAACCATCCTGGATTTTGGTATTATTAGGGGTCCTGAAACTAATCCCTCATGGATACTGAAGAACAACTGTGTTCAACTAATGAGAAATACATCATATTACCTTTTTTTTTTTTGAGTCAGGGGGCTCTCTCTCACCTAAGCTGGAGTGCAGTGGCATGATCAGAGCTCACCACAGCCTCGACCTCCTAGGTTCAGGCAATCCTTCTGCCTTAGCCTCCTGAGTAGCTGGGACTACAGGTGAGCATCACCACACTTAGCTAATTTTTTTATTTTCTGTAGAGACAAGGTCTTGTTATATTGCCCTGGCTGATCTCAAACTCCTGGGCTCAAGGAATCCTCCCACCTTAGCCCCTCAAAGTGCTGGGATTATGTGATTACAGGTGTGAGCCACCATATCCAGTCTTTTAAAAATAACACCTAATTTATATTTTCTCTCTCTTGCTGGGTTTAATTGTATGGCTAAAGGTCCCAGTACCTGACAAATTTAAGATCTGTATCCTGGCTGGAATCTAGCAGTCTCTTCAAAAATGAGTTCTTTGAGCTTTTCTTTAGGCAAGTCATCCAATTCCATGTCAAACTTGAATGGTGCTTCAGCAATGGGCTTTAAGAGAAAATAAAAACATTTAATAGTCAAAAACCGTTATGATTAAGTCAATAATTTATTAATTCATAAAATGATAATTTAGACTCTGAATTTATACAATAGGACTGATAACTCACAAAAACTGAAAGCTCTGATAAACCTCTATGGACTTGTGCTCACACTCCTGAAAGTATCCTTCTCAAAAGCACTTAAATGGACTGGGAGCAACTGGATCCATTTCAAGTGTTCTGACCTTACCACAAATCCCAGAATAATTTTCAAATGTCCTAGGACACTAAATGTTGAAATAACAGAAATGTGCAGTTGCAGGGGTGGCAGTGGTGGTATGTTTATCCAGTCAAAGCTCATGATACTAAAATAAATGCACCTAAGTAAATATAGTAACTTTATATGAAGAAGTATCATGGAGCTGTCAAAAATAAAGTCACAAGGAAGATTAATACCATGGGAAAATGTCCATGTCTCTGTAAAGACAAAGAATTCTACTTTATTTATTTTTCTGAGTTGGAGTCTCACTCTGTCACCCAGGCTGGAGTGCAGTGGCATGTTCACAGCCACTGCAGCCTCAACCTGCTGGGCTCAGGTGATCCTTCCACCTCAGCCTTCCAATTAGCTGGAACCACAGGCATGTGCCACCACGCCTGGCTAATTTTTTGATTTTTATTGTAGAGATGAGATCTTGCCATGTTGCTCAGGTTGGTCTCGAACCCGTGAGCTCAGGTAATCCTCTTGCCTTTGCCTCCCAAAGTACCGGAATTACAGGCGTGAGCCACCACACCTGGCTACTTAATTTTTTAAATTTAGATATAAACATGTAAGACTGGGAAGGAAACACTAAAAAGTTTTAATAATAATAACTGTAGGCCGGGCTCAGTGGCTCAGCCTGTAATCCCGCGCCTTTGGGAGGCTGAGGTGAGTGGATTGTCTGAGCCCACAGGTTCGAGACCCGCTTGGGCAGTGAGACCTCATCTCTACAATAAATCAAAAAAATCAGCTGGGCGTGGTAGCGCATGCCTGTAATTCCGGCTACTCAGAAGGCTGAGGGGGAAAGATTGCCGGAGCCCAGCAGGTCGAGGCTGCGGTGGCCGGGAGCAGCCACTGCACTCCGGTCTGGGCACCAGAGTGAGACTCCAACTCAAAAAAAAAAAAAAAAAAAAAATAATAATAATAATAATAACTGTAACAAGATTATAAAGTGATCTCTTATATTCTCCTGTAAGTTTTCATTTCAATTTTTAAACCTCACTATGAATAGCCAGAAAGGTATGTAAGTAAAATACAAACTATCTATTTAGGCCAAAGAACCCCTATACAACACAGTGACAAACAGTTACATTAATTAATTAATATACATACTTATTTGCTTATTTCATTTATCTATTTTGAGTTGGGGTCTTACTCTGTCACCCAGGTTGCAGTGCAATGGCAAGCTCATGGCTCACTGCAGCCTTGAGCTGGGTGGGCTCAGGTGATTTTTCTGCCTCAGTCTCCTGAGTAGCTGGGTCTACAGGCACACACCACCATGCTGACTAACTTTTTAAAGCACTGAGGTCTTGCTGTGTTGCCTGGGTTGGTCTTGAACTCCTGGGCTCAAGGAATCCTACTGCCTCAGTCTTCCAAAGTGCTGGGATTACAGGAGTGAGGTACTGCACCCAGCTACATTTTTATTTTATTTTTTGAACCGGAGTCTCACTGTGTTGCCCAGGCTGGAGTACAGTGGTAATCTCACAGTCACTGCAGCCTTGACCTGTTGGGCTCAGATGATCTTTCCACCTCAGCCTTCCAAGTAGCTGGAACTACAGGCATGCACCACCACACCTGGCTAATTTTTTGATTTATTGTAGAGACGAGGTCTTGCCAAGTTGCCCAGACTGGTTTCAAACCCGTGGGCTCAGGCAATCCTCTCGTCACGGCCTCCCAAAGAGCTGGAATTACAGGCGTGACCCACTGTGCCTGGCCTACATTTTTATTTTATTTTTTATTTTTTTTGAGTTGGAGTCTCACTCTGTCGCCCAGACTGGAGTGCAGTGGCTGCTCCCGGCCACCGCAGCCTGGACCTGCTGGGCTCCAGCAATCCTTCCGCCTCAGCCTTCCAAGTAGCCAGAATTACAGGCATGCGCTACCACACTCGGCTGATTTTTTGATTAACTGTAGAGATGAGGTCTTGCTGCCCAGGCGGGTCTCGAACCTGCGGCCTCAGGCAATCCACTCACCTCAGCCTCCCAAAGGCGTGGGATTACAGGCTGAGCCACCGAGCCCGGCTACATTTTTATTTTTAAATGGCCATAAACCAACACAATGCTACAGAACTAATAAGCTGTGATGATAATTCCAGCTGTCAATCAGTAGATTTGTAGACCCCCACATCTCAGGAACCCTGATCTCTGCACTCAGCTTTGGCCATCTGAAAGGAGGAAAGAATTCATGTTCGCAAGAGAATAAGTAGCCTGGCTTGAAGGAGGGTTCTGCATTCGGGATCACACTAGGCATCCTACATATATTACCCACCAACCGGACATGGATGTGTAGGAAGTCTCCAGCTCACTGGGTGAAGAAGAGCCCCAAATTTCTATTCCCACCTCTTCTGTGTTATTGACTATGCCATAGGTATTTCTGCAAGTTGCCTCACTTGTTTCTGGGAATGAGGAATGGATGAGCAATAGGAAAGTGATAAATGCTTCCTCTTTTTGAGTTCTATCTTCTTTCTCTGTATCAGCTTTTAGCTTTGGTAGTTAAGAGTTTTTCCCTTTCTTTTCCATTTCTCCCATAATTTTAACATAACCCACTTGCTGCTGCTCCTTTTAAAAATAGGGTATAATAGGCTCTATGCATATAAGCCTCAACGAGAATAATTTAACATTTTGGTTTATATTGCATTTATCTTTGTTATCCTCCAGAGAATAAAGTTAAAATCAAACCTACAGAGGAACCAGAGAATCAAAGCACTGGAACTGTCCTGGAGAGAACATGACATGCAATGTCTTTACGTAAATGTCCAGGCTGTTCTGAAGAGCTGCCACACCCAACTCTGTCTGCATTACTTCTCACAACAGGCTCTTGTGTCCCTGTCTCTAGGGAACAGCACATCAGACATGGAGTCGCCAAGTCACAGTGGGAATCACCCAAGCTGACTTCTCCTCCTTACTCTGCATGCTGCCTTGCCCACCCACCCCCTCTCCACCCTAGCCATTCTCAGAGCTGGCCATCAGTTCAGGCGTCTCTTCTTGCCATGACAATGGTTTCCAGCCTCGGACCCCTGCTCTCTCTGTGCTCCACATTGGTGCAGCTGTTCCCTTTGTCTGTGCATTTCCCCAGCCCCTGCCTGTTGCAGGTGACTTGGAAGAAGTCTTCTAAAGTAGACAGCACAGTTTGAGGGAGGGATTTCAAGTTGTGCCTCATAGTACTCATCCTCAGGGCAGACAAGGTGGGCTTGTTGGACCAGGTATGGCATCATGTACTCCTTAGGACAATCTCAGCAGGACAGGGTTGGGCCACTGCTGGCTGATCTACATTCCTGAAGCAGCAGCCAGGAGCAACAGGTTCTTACCTCGTCACTTGGGTCATAATACTGCTCCAGATACGGGTGGGCCAGAGCCTGTTCTACTTCAATCCTCCTGTGAGGGTTGAATGTCAACATTTTGTCCAGTAAGTCCAGAGCTATAAAGAGAAAAGTTTTGCAGTGGTGAGAAGCAGGAGTAGTCACTGAAATAATTCCATTTTCTGTTTAAGTAAATGGACCTACAAAAGAATTCAGCTAAGCATCACTGTGGGCAAGCTGCCAGCACAGAGTGCCTATTCCGTCTCTGAATCTTCTGAGACCCTGTGAACTTAGGTACCGAACATCTGACAATCTCAGATTCCATAACTCAGAAAGGTGGGGCAATTAGTCAAAACCCAGATCAAGAAGCAAGAGAAAGGACAAATCAGGTTCTGCCTACAGAACCAAGACTTTTCATAAACCACTACTCTGCTCTGGAGGTACAAAGGCAAAGGTTTTATGTTTGTACTTCTCTCAGATCAACAATGGTCAATTTATTTTTATTTCTCTTTAAGGGATAGGATCTTGCTCTGTTACCCAGGCTAGACTGCAGTGATGTGATCACAGCTCACCAGCTTCGACCTCCTGGGTTCAAGCCCTCCTGCCTCAGACTCCCAAATAGTTGGGACCACTGACACATGCCACCACACTTGGCTACTTTTCTCTTTTTTTGCTGAGTACAGGGGACTTTATTGATGGTACATGATGAGGTGGGGCTTCCTAGGATCCTCCCCTAATTCTTCAGAGGATCTGGTATGGACACTGTGAGGAGATTCTCAGTGTGGTCGGGACTCCTGAGCCGCTGAGGGTTTCTCCTTTCCTTTCATGCTCTCGCTGGGGCTTGTGGTCTGAGAACTCTTACTCCTTGGAGGCCACATGATCCATGAGTTCCACCACCCTGTCGCTGTAGCCAAATTCACTGTCATACCAAGAGATAAACTTGACAAAGTGGTTGTTGAGGGCAATGACAGCCCCAGCAATGAAGGTGGGAGAGTGGGTGTCACTATTAAAGTTAGAGAACACAGTGTGGTGCTCAGTGTAGCCCAGGATGCCCTTGAGGGGGCCCTCGGATGCCTACTTCACCACCTTCTTGATATCATATTTGGTGGGTTTCTCCAGATGGCAGGTCAGGTCCATGATGGAAACATTGGTGGTGGCAACATGGAAGGCCATGCCCATGAGCTACTTGTTCAGCTTGGAGATGACCTTGCCCATGGCCTTGGCAGTGCTGGTAGATGCAGGGATGATGCTCTGGTGGCTGTTGTGTCACAGCTTCCCAGAGGGGCTATCCAAGGTCTTCTGGATGGCAGTGATGGTGCCGAAGCTGGCTTAAAGTGATCACCTCACCTCAGTTTCCCAAAGTACTGGGATTATAGGTATGAGCCATTTCACTCAGCTTAGTTTTTTTCCTTAACACAGGGAGAAGGCCTCCAAGGTAATAAAAGAAAACAGTCTTCTTATTCCAGGTCCTGGCTGAGAGTTACATGTGACCCATTAGCACTCTGGCCTACTCTGCCAGCTTGGAGTCTTTCTGCAAGGCCCAAAGTCAAAGTTTTCTCTTGCTCTGGCCAGTAATCAACAGCTGAGTGTTTCTCTTAAGTCTAGAGCTCAGGGATAGGAAAAAGTGTGGAGCATGATTGGAGGGGTGCTAATGAGCTGCTTATCCTGCTGTCCTCTGTGGCTAGTGCCCAAGCATCACCTCAAGCTATAAGGAAGGCTGAAGGGCCTAGCTAACAGTGGCTGGGACAAGAGTTAAGGGAAGTGTGACAAAACACTTCCTGTGTTTATTAGTAGGAGTACAAGTCAGTAAAAAATAATATACACTGCCGGGTGTGGTGGCTCATGCCTATAATTCCAGCACTTTGGGAGGCTGAGGTGAGAGGACTGCCTGAGTGCAGGAGTTTGAGATCAGCCTGAGCAACATGATGAGAGCTTGTCTCTATGGTAAATCAGAAAATTAGCTGGGCATGGTGGCACACGTCTGTAGTTCCAGCTACTTGGAAGGCCGAGGCAGAAGGATCGCCTGAGCCCAGGAAGTCGAGGCTGCAGTGGCTGTGAGTATGCCACTGCAATCCAGCCTGGGTGACAGAGTGAGGCTCCTACAAAAAAAATAAAATAATAGCCGGGCTCGGTGGCTCAGCCTGTAATCCCGCGCCTTTGGGAGGCTGAGGTGAGTGGATTGCCTGAGCCCGCGGGTTTGAGACCTGCCTGGGCAGTGAGACCTCATCTCTACAATAAATCAAAAAATCAGCCGGGCATGGTAGTGCATGCCTGTAGTTCCGGCTACTTGGAAGGCTGAGGCGGAAGGATCGCTGGAGCCCAGCAGGTCGAGGCTGCAGTGGCCAGGAGCGGCCTCTGCACTCCAGTCTGGGCGACAGAGTGAGACTGTAACTCAAAATAAATAAATAAAATAAAATAAAATAATAATAATAACAACAACAACAATAATACACACTAAAGAATACATTATTATTCTGGTAAAGAGGAAGCAAAATGGGATCCTTTTTAAAATATTTTATGTCTCCTTTTATTAATGATGCTCAGATCAATAGTTTAAATTTAAGTAGCAGGTCCTTTCTTCAAATTAAATCCCAATTGAGTTTCTTCAAATTAAATCCTAAGGGGAGCCTCTACATATGAAATAAGTAAGGAAGGAGTGACCTGATTCTTAGGTTTTAGTTCATAGCCTGAGACACTCCCAAAATCCCAAGGCTCCAAGGAACAAGTCTGAAACCTACTGCAAGTCTGAAAAACTACTAGCCAATCAATAAAAGATACAAATTTTTAGAGAATGTACTGACACTAAAACAAAATAAAAACACTGGCATTACTTAATGAAACTTCTTCTCTTATAAACATTTATTAGATTATTTGTAGGTAGCAACATCAATCTCATCCATCTGCAAATTAGCTCATACTATTAAGCCCTGAGAGTAGAATGATAAAAGGTCATTTAATAACCTAAATGTAACAGTTTAAGAAATCACTTCTAACTCATTACTTTCAAAAAATAAGTTTTTATCATCTACTCACTAAAAACTGTTGCTCAACCCTTGAGAGGAGCTAATAAACCTTCCAAAGGTTTGGGTGTTAGGTGGAGACGGGGAGGCACCTTGCTGTCTGAGGCCACTGAAAAGGTGTAAATGTGTGAGTGTATATTTGTGCTCATGCATGCATGTCCTCAGCTTTGGCCCCTATTTTGACTTACCTTGTTGCCTGCTACTATAGGGCCAACCCCCAATCTTCAAGACAACAGGAGATAATAAATATGGTAAACCACATATTGAACATAATGAGAAATTCCATTTAACAGAGAGCTTTTCTTGTATTTAATGTTATATAAACAAAAAGCACAGATAATAAATCTCTATAAATAATACATTTCTAACCTATACTTCTGTTTATAAGCCTTTCAATATACACAAGTGTACTTTAGAAGCCTTGTCTGAAGCAGAGTCTACATGGTAGAAGACGTGGTTCATGCCTGCGGATGTGATATTGGGTCTACGGGCCCATGAACTGACTAGTTTTAGGAACTGAGCTTCCGTAATAGTCAATCTTGTGTTGAGGCTGGGTAATTATAATGAAAGAGGTTTATTTATTTACTTATTTTCTGAGTCGGAACCTCACGCTGTTGCCCAGGATGGAGTGCAGTGGCAAACTCACAGCTACCGCAGCCTCGACCTGCTGAGCTCAGGTGATCCTTCTGCCCCAGTCTTCCAAGTAGCTGGAACTAAGGTGTGTACTACCACGCCTGGCTAATTTTTTGATTTACTGTAGATATGAGATCTCACCATGTTGCTCTGGCTGGTCTCGAACTCCTGAGGTCATGTAATCTTCTTGGCTCTGCCTCCCAAAGTGCTGGGATTACAGATGTGAGCCACCACGCCCGGCCAGGTTTATTTTGGCTCACGGTTCTGCACATTGTACAAGCAGCACAGTGCCAGTATATGCTTCTGATAAGACCACAGGAAGCTCACAATCATGGCAAAAGGGGAAGTGGAACTTGCATGCCACATGGTGGAAGCAGAAGCAAGAGAGAGAAAGGATGAACCAGGTACTTTTATTTATTCTTTCTTTTTTTTTTTTGTAGTTGGAGTCTCACTGTCGCCTAGGCTGGAGTGCAGCAGCACGTGTGACCACTGCAGCCTCGACCTGCTGGGCTCAGGAGATCCTTCCACTTTAGCCTTTCAAGTAGCTGGAATGACAGGTACGCGCCACCAATTTTTTGATTTATCGTAGAAATGAGGTCTCACCAAGTTGTCCAGACTGGTCTTGAAACCAAGGGTTCAGGCAATCTTCTCACCTCAGCCTCCCAAAGTGCTGGGATTACAGGCGTGAACCATCAAGCCGGGCCTGAACCAGGTACTTTTAAACAGCCAGGTCTTGCATAAACTAACAGTGAGAACAGCAACAAACCATTCAGGGGAATCTGCCCCCGTGATCCAATACCTCTCATGAGGCCCCCCACCTCCAATACACACTGGGTATCACGTTTCAGCATGAGATTTGGAAATGACAGACACCCAAACTTTATCATCCTCTCAAAGGTAAGGACAGTACAACATGATGGTAAAAAGCTTAAGTACCTCGGCCAGGCATGGTAAACCACACCTGTAATCACAGCACTTTGAGAGACTAAGGAGAGAGGATTTCTTGAGCCCTGCCTGGGCAACATAGCAAGACCATGTCTCTACAAAAGAAGAAGAAAAAGAGGCCAGGCATAGTGACATGCACCTGTAGTCTCAGCAATTTGGGAGACAGAGGTGGAAGGATCACCTGAGCCCAGGAGGTTAAGGCTGTGTTGAACCAGGATGATGCAGCTTAGGAGACAGAGTGAGATCCCGACTCAAAAAAGTAAAAACAAAGGCTGAACTAGTTTACACTCCCACCAACAGTGTAGAAGTGTTTCCTTTTCACCACATCCTCTCTAGCATCTGTTATTTTTTGAGTTATTGATAATGGCCATTCTGACTAGAGTTAGGTAGTATCTCAGTGTAGCTTTAATTTGCATTTCCTTGATGACTAGTGAGGTTGAACATTTCTTCATGTTGGCCGCTTGTATGTCTTCTTTTGAAAAGTGTCTGTTCATGTCTTTTGTCCACTTTGTAATGGGGTT